CAGTCAGTACTAAAAAGTACGCTTTATTTGGCTCGTCAGGGAAAAGCCGTACAAATCAGGATAATTCTGGCCAAGTACAGGACCGCCTTTGTCCCTTGTCGCTGGCCGAACTTAAATGATGTAGTATTGCGCAATACAAATAATTCTCTTCGAAGCACTTCTCGCAAGTCTCAGCTTTCTAAGATAGATGAATCTCGAGCGATGAATCACACGTGATGAATCAAGAGTGCCCAAATGATGAGTGCCAACAGGCGCAAGAACGCGCTGGGTTTTATACCAAAAAGCGATGCAATGCTGCACCAATCACCGAAAAGTCCGAGCATAACGCGGCTGTCGATACATGTGATTGGCATAATAAATGTGGTGGGAGAACTCAAACTAGAAGAAAGAAGGAGCCCTTACAAGCATCTTAGCGCTACCGTGGCCACCACCGAAAACAAAGACACTGCTTTGTCGAGCGTGTCTCACGTCTCGGCAGGGCCGTGCACGCCCCGGCGCTTCGCCCTACTCACTCGTTGCGTATAATACGCAACATATTCTATTTATTAACTATTATATATTAATTATTTCTTTTATTATTTGTGCAAGGTATTAAAAAATTTATTATTTCTAATTTTTTTTGTAATAAATATTTTTCTCTTTCCTGTATATATTTCAAAATTAAGAATTATGAAAAAACAATTTGAAAACAGATAGAAAAAAATTATTAAAAAAAACTTTCCCCATGAAAGAACGCATACTAACTAGCAGCACGAGGAGCGAGCACGCTACTACTTACGCTAACGCACTACTGGATAAACAGTCGCATTTAAAATAATATAAACATTTGTACAAAAAAATCAAAACTTTAAAAGCTTTTTTCTCAAAATTAGCTTCGCATTTTGATAAAATACTTTAACACGTTAACACCCTATAAGTATACTACTATTATACCAAAGCTCGTTAAAATCCGTGAGGGCATAGCCGTAAGGTCTCCTTGTTAGTAATTTTGCGATATTTTGATTTGATTTCTTGTCATTTAAAGAGAAAACTTCAGGGAAACATGCATTTCTCAAAAAGTTACGCTGAAATAACTGAATTCCCCGTAATCACTAATGAACTTAAATGTCTCCTGAGAGGGGACAGCGGAGTGCAAAGGGTTATATTTTGTACTTCAAATACGGCCAAGTCACTGCCTTTATTAAAATATTTACAAATGTACTTAATGGATTTCACGGAACTGCAAAGCTCGACATTGATATGAGCCTTATACGTTTTTGAAAGTAATAGTGAGTATGGTACCACCCACTGATTGTCAATTTCTACTTTATTTGTAGAATTTGCTAGTCGCATTGTGTATGTGTGGCCACCATTCTCAGTATTTCTGCGGCGATACATTGAATAACCGTCAATATCCGTGATGGTATCATTCGTATACTGCTTTAGGAAACGCTTCTTACATTTTCCATTTTCCATGCATGGGGATGTCATGTTAAATGCACCGCACTGTCCGTGAACCATGTAACTCTAGTAACAATATCAAACAATTCTTGATCAATTGACGGATCCGGAATTTCAGCTGAAATTATTTGATTAATTTCTACAGGACGGATTTTTTCTTCGAACCAAATTAAAATGTGAGCATGAGGCAAACCTCGCTTTTGCCACTCAATCGAATACAGCCAACAACGTGTGTTACCGAAAACTGAATATTTAACAATGAAATCAATCAAGGATTTTAATTTTTGTTTAAACACACGTGCAGTTATATCATGACGATTGTTGTCCTGGTAATAGTAAAGTTTGTATTTCCTCCCAATTCGGATTACATGTAAATGTAATAAACAAATTTGGACGACCGTAATAACATACGTAAGTCATCGCTTCTTGTATGTATTCCTGCATGTTCGGTGGACTGCCGATGTAGCTTGAAGGTAAAATGAAAGCATTACTGATGTCATTGGGGTTTACGTTTCCATCGACGTTTCCGACAATAGCATTTCGTAAGTGAATGTATTCTTCCGATCGTAATTTAGCCTGGTTGGATCGAATGAATTGCAAGCGTTTGCTACATACATATCTACAATGTATTGATGGAATAGTGGACGATATGGAAAGATATAGTTGTCTTGATTATGTCTGATCATCAATCGGTGTGCGTAGTAGTTCATTGTACTAACGTTTTTTTTTTATCTATTTTATTACCTTAAAAGAGAGAGAGAGAGAGAGAGAGAGAGAGAGAGAGAGAGAGAGAATAATAAAGAAAATGAAATAAAAAATTAAAATTAATTTATATAGTAGGAAATTAAATAGTTAATTTAAAATTCACCAGTATTTGGATCACATTGTTTGATGTTAAGATGATATTCATCCTGTCCTTGCCAAAATATTAATGGATATTGGAGTGCGTCACATGAACGGTGTAGATCCGAAATCTTACTGACAGTGTTGTTTCGCCGTGTAATTTTTATAGCTCTATTATTGTTAACTGGATCACCAGCCATAATAACAGCAACTTCATCAACAGTTGGCACGTTGAATCTGCCAGCATTTTCTCTTAATGGTACTTTGTCGGCTTTAATGACGATTTGATAGTTGTCATTTTGCAATTGTGGTGAAACTCTTTTAATCAATTGAGTGAGTTGATTCTGATTTTCTAAAAAATTGTCCAACAATATCACAATTTCTCTTTCCTTTGCTTGTTCAATGAAATTATACTCGCACCGAGTTGTCACGCGTTCTTCACAACTGCCCATAAAATAAATTTTGAGGAACTTCGGATTATCATTAGACATTTGCATCAATGACCCAATTTTATGGTACACTTGGCCTCGTATTTTAAATGTATTTTCAAAATTACGTCCATCGGATGAGGGATCACAAATTTTAGTTGTCCCAAAAGACGTCATTTGAAAGCAAGGAATTAAATTTGCGTATTTTGCGCAAAAATAATTTCGAAATATCTGTTTCGGCGGAGTGGATAGGGGTGACAGCACTATTTTTCCTGATGCGCACCACATGTCTAGTGCTTCATTGCGAAATTTTAATGCCTGACAATATTGACATATTTTATCCATTGCGCCGATAGCAATTTTTGGATGCGCAGAGTAATTAATATCTGGTGCATATTCGAACGCAGCACGAACAAATGATGCACGTGTTAATGAGCGGTTGGTCCGCTGTCTCTGTCGTTCTTGTACTCGTGCTGTAGCTATGTGTTGTTCACGCGCCGCTCTTATTCTCGCAAGAGTCTGTCGCAGACGTTCGTCCCGCTGTTCTTGAGATTCTTGTGCACGACTCTCTGCTGTCCTGATTCTTTGTGCTCCTCTTCTTGCTGTGATTTCTTCTCTCGACTGATTAGCTATTTCAATACGTTTGCTCCGCACATTGTTGAGGTTAGATTTTTTTGGTGGCATTTTAATTAAAATAATAATGTAAAATGTTAAAATAAAATTGAATTATTAAAATGAGAAGCGATAAATTACCTTACATCACCATGTGTTAGAATCTTATGGAACTAACAGATATACGACAAATACCTCTAGGTTCTATAATTAATAAAACGCAATTGGTTGCTCTGTAAAAGAGTTTTTACAATTTATTTAACAACTACATTCTATTAACAATATTTACAATTTTACCTGTAAAAGAGAAACGACAATTAATGTTCCTTCTCCCTCGTTACACTTTTATCTAACCTTCTATTTATTAAACTTCTTATTTATTTAATTTTTTCTAGGAAACTCACACGCGTGCCTTTTTATATTCTCCCTGTTTTTGTCTGCTTTTGTTCACCTCTATCTCTTGTTACACCCTGTTGCCATGAGTAACATTCAACTTCAATCCCAAAGAAAATACATTTTCCTTACATCTCCTCCCCCCTTCGGCGATGAACATTCTCATAATTTTATTTTTTTTTTACACATGAGCAGGCTACATATAGTTGCTTTTTAATCTCAAGTTAGATCAAACTGCACACAGTGTGCAAAATTTGATTAAAATCGGTTCAGTAGTTTAGGAGTTCACCGTGGACAAACATAGTGACACGAGATTTATATATAAGGTATATTTTATACTGTTCTTATAAGGATTATATTTTATGGAATATAACTGCCTTGAGTTTCTGCAAATAAGAGTCGATTATTTTATTAATATTATTTACACTAACTTACATTATCTGCATTGCTTTACATTGTTTAATACAAATTACACTTAAAACTACACTATATACATTAGTTACATTACCTGCAAATAAGAGAAACAACATATATATACAACTAATATTCACTCTTGTTTTATGATCTTATTATACAGGTTTTGCAATTCGAACTTTAACCGTCTTTGCTTAGCCAACTCCTAACAGTTTCTATCGCACGTGCACAAGGTTACATATATGTAGGATTCCTTTCTTTTCATCAGTCTTTCTACGAATATCTGCCTACCGAAGAGTAGGAATACTCGTGTTAATAATGGATTGTTCATAAAGATAAATAGACCATTTCAATGAAAATGCAATTTATTCTGATATAAGACAATAAGAGTTGCTTGATGGCTAGACGATGACTAACTTCTCAGTTCTTCGTTCTTTATCAACCGTTTTTTCGTATAACAACTTATCGCTGCACGCCGCTATATTCCAACGGTCCTACCAACTATACCTTGTTTAAGAATGCTTATTAACATTGCGATAGCGTCTCGCTCTTATGATTTAATCGGTATCGGCAACCCTAAATAAAAACTTTTTTATATCGCGTGAATGCTATCGGCAGTCGTAAAACCTGTGAAAGCTATCGGCTCTCAGGTACGCTTTAGTTCGTATTCCCTTTGTCGAATTTCCCTATCCCACATATATATAAGATATCTCTTAAAATCTTATTTTACATATTAACACGTTGAGCGCGGCGTCGGTCCCYAGGGACCGGCGTTAGACTTTTCGTTAGGCCGACATCGGTCTGGTGGAACCGACGGTATTAAAGTTAAAAGATAAATGTCGCCTGAATGAAATGTAGTCAAATATAGTTTTAATGAGCTTTATTAAAGCATTCTAAGCAAACGTATGGCTGGTATTTACACACGTAACAAAATGTAACAACTTTTTTTGTTGTATTTTTGGCTTTCTTGCGCCTACATAATTTTGAATTGTCAGCATAACAACCAGAAGAATATTTTCGAACTGTATGGACGCTTCCTTCCTTTTTCTGCAATTTATGAAGAATTTTTCCTTCGCGATGCGGAATTTTTTCATCTTCTCGCTGTGTCAGTCTATTCACCAATTGTCTCCGAAATTCCGTAACTGATATTTTTTGTCCTGTTACTTCTTGGAAGACAAAGTGCGAATTGATCACAGCGGTGTTCAAACATAACTCCAAGGCTAACTTTTTATACCATTTGAGTATTTTCCTCAAGGGACTGCTATGCGCACTCATTTGATCTGATAAATCAATGGATGTTTTTGCTGTATTATATTCAGCTATAATTTGTGGTTTATAGCAAAATCCGCGTTTTGTTTTTCCGTTTATCATTTCACTGGAATGTTTTGTGGACAGGACCAAAACATCTCTTTTGTCTTTCCATTTCAACACTGTAATACCCTGATTATTTTCTTTAGCTATAAGTTCTCCACGGTTCAAATTAGTTCTTATCACATCATTTTCGTTTTCCCTACGATTTGTTCGAAGTGTTCCAATCAAATGTGTGTTTTTTTCTATTAGACGATTCGCTAAATCGATACTGGTGTAYCAGTTGTCAGTACACAATGTGTGGCCTCTATGAAATAAATTTTTCAATAGAGACATTACAACATTTGACGGAGTTGTGTTTTCCTTATTGAGACCTTTTCCGGTGTACACATGACAGTTATAAGTGTATCCATGACCACAACATAATTTAAATAATTTTATACCGTATTTGTGTTTTTTCTGTTTCATATACTGCCTAAATACAATGTGCCCACGGAATGGAATTAGCGATTCGTCAATACATAATACTTCTGGTGGATCGTAATATTTTTGAAAATTTGTATTCAATTCGCCTATGATGAATTAAATTTTTGATAAACGGTTATTTGCGGTAGCTACTTCGTTGTCAGCGAAATGCAACATTCTCATTAGAATTTCGAATCTGTCTCTGCTCATTACACTTCGTGGGAATGTTTGTRAAAATAATGGATCTTGAGACTAATATAGACGTAAAGAGGGAAGGTTTACCATACCCATTCATATTAGCAGCCCAAATAAACGCTTAAGCTCATTTTTGTTAGTTGGTGTCCATTTAGTTGTACGTTTAGAAATGATTGTGCATTGAGTAGCATAGAGGTTTGTTTGTTCACTGATGTCATGAAATATTGCGTCTGTAACGAAAAGTGCATAAAACTCTTCTGCTTTTGTACAAATCATTTCTCGTTAGTTGTTTTGGCGCCGGAGATACGCGTAAAGGGAACAATACTTGGCTGATTCCCTTTTGGATCAAACCATTCATTTCCGTCACAGATTTTATTAGCACCTGTGCTTCTTCTCCTACTTCTTCTCTCAAGTTCCGTTTTTATGGTCTACTGAAATATTATCTTCTGATGACGATAGCCGTAACACCCGGCGACGTCTGAATAAAAAAAACACTTCGCTTGATGAATTACTGTCATCTCTGTCAAACATTTTCGGTTTTATGCGCGATAAATACTCTCAGGAACAATCTAAATTTTTTACTCTCAAATGATCTGTAGATGCCTGTTACTTTCTTGCAACTGAAAGCCCCTTGGAGGTACGCACTGTCTCATTGTTTCACTCAAAGAGAAGCACCGAAACTTTTGTTTTTTATGAATGTGTCGCCCGCTCGCTGCCGGCAGAGCAGAAAGATCAGAAATATTGGCGCCGCGCGTTCAACGTGTTAAAAGAATAGTTTTCTTATGCGGTGGGCTGCACGATTCAGCGTAATGTAACAGGTGGATTTCGCCGCTACTACGATGTTTCCAATCACTTTGAGAGAGTGATATGCGTAGTTACTTGCTAAACTCTCAATCCGATTATCAGGGTTGGGGTTAGAAACCTTGGTGATCACTGCTTATGCTAGTGAATCCAGCTGTTGATAGTAACTCACCTGTCTTGATTCTGACGCAGTCAATCTCTTGTTGGACTGCATTCATTAGTCGAGATAAATATGGGATTGTATCATGTTCATTTTCAATTTGAAAATCAGGACCAAATCCCGCTCCGTGAAGCCATTGAACTTGCTGTAGTGACAGCCGTACAGATGGATCCCAACCCAATAGATTTGGAGTCGGCGAGCCAGCCGATTTACCCTTAGGAGCGATGTTAGGTGGGAGATCCCAATTGGGATCGAGGTCTAGATTCATGATATAATTGAAATCATTTTGGATCCGAGCTGCATAAACAGTTAGGCATGGATAGCTGCTGTAAAGAAAATGTGTGTGACCGTTCACCTGCCCAAACCATCCTATTGAGCCATCTTCCGATTGGTGGACTGGACGAGGGCGCATTCTGAATTTTAGTTTGCGTTGATTCTGTAGCTTGGTATTACCAAATCCCTTCAGGTAAAAGGAGATCGAAGCTGGTGGTCGATATCCCCCTGCATAAACTAAATTCATAAAGGTTTCTTCTTCTAAGGAGACTCGTCGTCCGGATATCATCAAAACCTTAAGTTCGCGAGCATACACCAGTGTTGCTGTATAGTAGGCGAGTGCGGACTCCAGTAACTTACGGCTTACGTTAGTATCTACTGCAGCGATCAGCCGATGCGTCTCTCTGGACAAAGCAGAGATAGAAAAAAAGCCTGGATATATTAATAATTCTTCAGGCATAGCGCGGCTCTCATGGCCTGGCGCTGGTAGCATTGTTTCCTCATATAGGGGGGGGGGGTTATTCTTTGGTGCAGTAGCAGTAGTCGATAAAGCTGCTGGTCTAGGAGCACCTTCACCCCTTTGATCTCACTGGTTCTTGATGTGGAGGCCGTATGTTTGGAGATGGCTGAGACCGTCTGGGCGTGAGCGCACCCTGTCTTCGTTGTTGAGGCTGTTGACCGGGTCGCTTATCAAAGCGCGGAAGAACGCGCACGTCCCGGTCATCTTCATATCGCCGCTCATTTCGCCAACGATCTTCGCGATTAAATTGATTATCACGGTAATGTTGCATAATTCTAAAGCATCATTCGACTTCCTCTTAAGATAAAAATGGTGGGGGGGGGGGTTAGGATAAGGTTGTTCCGTATAGAATTTCCGCTGGTGAGGCTTGAATGTTTTTTTTGTAACTAGTGCGAAATCCGAGTAGCACAGTGGAGAGTATCTCTGTCCAGGGTTTTGGTGAACACATTAATGCTGACTTCAAAGTGCTATGCCATCGTTCAATCATGTCATTCGATTGCGGATGATATGGTGTTGTTCTCTGTTTGTTATAGCTGATGAATTTGGAAAAAGCTTGAAACAAGGATGACTCAAATTACGAACCTCGATCAGATCTTATTATTATTGGCGTGCCGTAATGTACGATCCAGTGGTCAAATAGAGCAATTATGATTGTATCCGCAGTAATGTCCTTTAATAGGATTACAACAGGTCATCTAGAGAAACAATCGATGTTAGTCAGACAGTATTTATAGCCCTTATGTTCAGGTACCACGATGATGTCCAAATGTATATGTTTGAAACGATTATCTGGTATATTAATATGCTGTGATTGAATACGTGTGTGTCGTACTTTGGAACGTTGACAAGGTATGCATTTTCTAGCCCAGATAGTGATATCTTTTTTCTTTGTTGGTCATACAAACTTTTTCCGAACTTGGCGTGACGTGATATTCCTTCTTGGATACGAATGCCCATGGATAACTTCAAAAGCTGTCTTGCGGAGTATAAGTAGGAGGTAAGGACAGACTGTTCCTGTCGAAATGTCACAGTAAATGCTTGAGTTGTGGAGTTTGAGTTTGCTTAATTGTAAGAATGAACTACCACTTTCGAGAAGTTCTTTTAGTACATTGTCGTCTTGTCTATGTTGTTGTATTATCTGTGAATCTAGTGTCGTTGGTACGTTAATTGTAGTGATTCTTGAGAGAGTGTCTGCTGCTACGTTGTCTTTACTCTTTACGTAGACTATGTCCGTTTTAAATTGTGAGATGTAGTCCATTTATCTCAATTGACGTTCTGATGCTTCTTCTAATTTTTGTATGATAGCGTAAGTCAGTGATCTGTGATCTGTTCTAATAGTAAATTGTCGTCCTTTTAAAAGATGTTTAAAACGTTTTGTGCTGGCGAAAATTGCAAGGAATTCTCTGTCATAAGTGCTGTATCTTGTCTCGGTCTCTGTCAATTTTCTTAAGAAAAACCGTATCGGTCTCCATTTTTTGTCGTGTTTTTTCTGTTCAAGTGTTAAGCTGATAGCAGTAGTCAAAGCATCTGTTGTCAGTCGTAGAGATGCGTTGGGAACTGGATATGTAGTAAGTGCTACAGATGAAAGAATTTTGTTGCAATAGTGAAAAGATAGTTGTGAGATCTACGTCCAGTCGAAAGGAGTTTTGTCTTTCTTCTTGGAATTTTAATTCCTTCCGCTACGGACGCATTCTGCGGCGAGCGATTCTCGCTGAGTGAGCCGCCGCGCCGAAAGTGTGCATTTGCGAATCAAATGTAATCGCCCATGATACGCTCAATACCGCGGTATTTTACGCAGAGCGGGTGTAATCGCTCGTAGAAAGGAAATGGTAAAAAATTTATCATATAATGCAATTAGAAAATATAATTTAATAATATAATTTCGTATGGAAGGTTTCAAAGCACGGGTATACACAAAGTCCTACCTCACATGTTTTACATTGGTAATGTGTTTGTCGTTGGACACCATTCTTAGTACAAACAATACACTTTCGTAATCCACTTTTTCGTTTTGTTTTCTCGCTAGTGTAAATCGCTGGGAAGTGACTATCAGTAAGCCTCAAAGGATATTTATCCGCAAATCTAAAAGCGCTTTGTCTAAAGTCGTCTTTATGGTATTTTCGTAAAATTTATCTTATTAATTCAAGATAAAAAGCGGCTACAGGAATATCTTTTCCTGTTTTGTATTTATACAAACAATAAGAATTCCAAATGGCAATGTATAGCAAATGAAAAAAGTACTTCTTGTACCATTTTATAGATTTTCTGATAGATTTAATGGAACTGATAACCATATCACATTTGTCGACAGCGCCCATTGATGAATTATAATCGATTATACATTTGGGTTTACGTATAAGTTCTTGAGTTTTATAATTTCTCTTTCCTGTACATATTAATTCGCCAGTATGGAAAGTGGATAGCATAAATACCTCCCTTTTATCACGTCATTTAAGGGCCAGCAAATTACTTGATGTCCGAAAATCAACTTCGCCTTTTTTTAATTTTCTGCTATAATAATTATCGACATACATGAATGACATTTTCCCAAGTACGGTTTCAAAAGTGTTAAAACGATATTTCCTGTTTTGCCAATTTCTTTCGTGTTCTCTGTCACGTGTGAAACACTACCTGTATATACGATAGTATCTAGTACGTAGCCAGTTTTATAGTTGCATAATACATACGTTTTAATGCCAAATTGGCTTCTTTTGGCCGGTATATATTGTTTAAAAGATAGTCTGCCCTTGTATAGTAAAAGACTTTCATCTATGCATAAATTTTGAAAAGGATAATATAAGTTTTAAAACAATTTTTGAAGTCTGCTTAAAACCCCGCTAATTGTTTGCATACGATTAGAAGAATTTTGATTATTATCTTCAAAATGCAACATTTTCAATAAAATTAAATATTTATCTCTAC